ATCTCTTTTATATTAATCACATCAATGAATAAAACAAGAATGAAATAAAACAAAATAATATAATATAATAGCAAGAATAATAATAATTATATTGATAGAAAATATAAACTTGAATAATATTGGTTTAAATGAACAAATGAATCTAATTCTTTAAAAACAATTATAAATATATTAAAATACTATTTCAATGAAATTGAAATAAAATAAGTACAAATTGTTACTTTTATTAAATTAAAATAATTATTATTCATGACTATTCATAGAGTGAATGATTTTCTTGTTATATTCTTATTATTTTAATTATAAAATAAATATGATTATTTGTTCTATTTAAAAGGTATTAAATTTATTGTTTATTTGTTTAATGAATAACTGACATTGGTTATGAATTATTCAAATTACGATTTTTTATTCAATAATCAATAGCAAATTATTATGTAACTAATATTCAAATCACTCATTGAGTGTTTATTTTATGAATATTGCAATATGTATTGTTTGTCATACTATTATTTCTTCATTTATAAATATTTTATTTAGTAAATAAACAATTTGAATGAATCAATTTTGTGATACAATAAAATTAAAATGTTAATGATTCAACAAATTTATAAATAAATTCATTCAATTCTTGATTCACTGTATTAACATTTCCATCATTTGATTATTCATTTTAGTTTACCACTCCAACATGGAATTTGTCTTCAATATAATGAGAAAATTGTCAAATAAATTTCAGATTAACCATTAAATAATAAAAACTAAAAAAAACAACAAAATGGTTTGTTAAAACAACAAAACTATTTTTGTTGTAAGAAAATAGAATATCATTAATAACCAACACCAAATCATTGAATTAATTAAGTGTAAAATTAAACATATATCTGTTTCATTAAATTCAACTCCTTATTCCTTTTATTTTCTGTGAAGACTAATTATGCTATTTTATAAAGAAACTAACTAATAAAAAGGGGGTAAAAGTAAACAATTTAATTTTTCGTTTTGTTTTATTTTTGTTATTACCAGATTAAGATAATAAAGATATTTAATGATAATAATCTAATCTTGTTAATCAATGGAACAACTTGTATTACTTGTTGAAGAAAAATTAAAAGAGATTTTTGAAGAAGAACGTAAAAGAAGTACTTGTCATCAATTTCAAGCAGAATGTATTGATATAATGGAGAAATTTGTTATGGGACCAGGTAAAAGACTCAGACCATTAAGCTTACTTTTGTTCTTCATTGGAGGAGGAGGAAAGATTGAAGAACAAAAGAACATAATTCGTACAGCATGTGCAATGGAGTTATTACATGACTCTACACTTGCACATGATGATATAATGGATGAAGATGAAATGAGACGAAATGCACCAACAATAGTAAAGACATTTTATGATAAATACATTGAAAGAAATAAAGAAGATGTCAAAACAGAAAAATTTTTATTTATGTCTCGTGGTACTACCTATGCTAGTTCCCTTGCTATTATGACAGGCAATATTCTTTATTCAATGGCACAACGACTTTGTTTAGAGTCTGGAACTAATATAGCAGAAATGGTGTTAGAATTATTTAGTGTATTAAACTATGGACAAATACTTGATATGAGTGGTTTAAATACTGTAGAAGAGTATAACTTAAATATTATTATGAAAACTGCCATTTTCTTTAAGACAACTGCTTCCATTGGATTGACATTAGCTGGTAGATCAGAACATGATATTGAACTTGGAAAGGAATGGGGAGAACATTTTGGAATTGCATTCCAAATGAGAGATGATTTACTTGATATTGATCCATTAAATGGTAAGTTAAGAAAAATGGGAAGCGATATCAAAGAAGGAAAGAAAACAGCAGTTGTATGGACTGCATTAAAAGAAGGAGTATTGAGTAAAGAAGAGAAAGAGTTTGTAGAAGGAATTTTGAAATTAAATGAAAAAGCATTTGACAACCAAGAAGCGTTTACTAAATTCTTGAACATTCTTAGAGGAAAACCAAGTGAAGTTGTTAGACAAGAAATTAAGGAACATCACCAAAAGGCACTTGATGCATTAAAACAACTTCAACTCAAAGAAGATGGTTTTTCATATTTAAAACAAATCACTGATTTGTTGTTACATTGAGTTAATAAAAATAACTTGATTCTTTTCTTCTTTTAATATACTATTGTTGTTTTTAAACAACTAATCTAATTAAGAGTTTAATTGAATAAAACACAATAAAATTCAATACAATTTATAAAGTTGTGATAAACATTTTATTCATACTTCATGACACAAAAGTGTTTTTTCTTATAAATATTTACAAGTCAATGTATTGACTGAATAAGGTTCTAAGAAATTTATTTTATGATATATTCAATAATATATTCACTGTCTTTCAATATTCTATTCTTTTTAATATTTCATTATCTTCATTATAAATATGAAATGCTTCAATATTATTAAATAATATTCTTGAATAATGCTTCAAAGGAGTTAGTTTAAAATGAAATTATTCATATTCATTGAATCTTTTAACACCATTTTCTAAATTAATACAATCATTAATACCATCAAATATATTGATATTATCATTATAACAATCCTTATTATTTCATTTTGAATATTGTTATGTTATTTCCAATTCTATTAGTATTAAGTTGTGTATCAACTTAAATAAACAAAAATATTTTTGGTTATTAAATGAGTAGAAAAAACGAAAAAAATTACTTCTCAGTACTTAAAATATTAACTCACATTAATAATTAACTTTTTAAGAAATTTAATTGTTATAAACTGAGAGTACTAAATAATATAAAATATTATTTACCATGTCCTGTATTAAACATATTGATTTGTGTTGATTTTAAGTATGTTTTTGTATTTGAAAAAGATTTTTTGTAAAATGTTTGATATAATTAATAATTTTTTGTAATAATTTAAAGCACAATCTAAGAATATCAAGAGTGTTTTAAGTCAATTATCTTTCTTCTTAATTCCTTTTTTTTTAATTTATCCATTCTTCCTCTCTTGAAAGATATATTGCTCATTATATTTCTTTTTGTGAAACATCTTTTTATTAGTTTTTATTGGTATTCTTCCACTGTTTTTTCCTTTGTTCTTATCTTGCTGACTTTTCTTAGATTTCTTACAACCGTTTAGACATTTATTCATGTTATTTTTCCTTTTTTGTTTATTAGTCTATTTTTTAAATACTTACTATAACTTCTAAATATTGTTTTTATTGATTTTGTTTTATCATTTAAAATTATAACGTCTTTCCACCGTCTCAATTTCTTCTTCCTCTCTTTTTCCTTACTTTTTAATGCTTCTTCTTGATTTTGTTTATAAAGATATGTTAAACTTT